AGCATGCAGGAGCGCCGACAGGCCCACATCCAGACAGCATGCACCGAGTGCTGCCTGTGCACACACAGGCACCCCAACATGCACAAACATGCACACAGTGCCATCTGCACACATGCACAGGGCATGTCTGCACACGTCTGCTGTTCCTGCATGTGTTCACGCAGCCAAATCTGCACACACACACAAAGAACACACACAACCCTGTCTGCACAAACCCGAACACGCACGCAGCACTGTCTGCATGCATGCACCAAACACCCAGTGCTGTCTGCATGCATGCACTGAACACACACAGAGCACTATCTGCATGGCACAGAGCCCCACGTGGACTCTCACATGTACAGACACATGCACACAACCACCCCTCTCCTCCGCAAGGCTCTCGGGCAGACACACGGGCCAGGAGCAGAGTTGCAGGCACGGGACTGGTCCCTGGAGATGCTGAGTGGAGCAGGGGCACAGCAGCCTGATTAGAGTTGCCCCCTCATACATACAGCCAAGCCTTGTCCTGCAGTGACAGCCCGGTCCCCTCCTGGGCATGGGTACAGATGGACACTGCCACAGAGATGGGCAGGCACCAACAGATGCACAGTGTTTGCAAGCTGACAGGCGCTTCCTAACCCAGAGACAGAGGGAAGAGCTGTGGGGACCCACAGATGGTCAGGCAGGCACAAGCAAGAGCCTTCTGTGCCCATACAGGCACTCACATGGTGACACACAGCCCACAAAACCACGTGAGTGGTGACATGCTGGGCAGTGACCAGGTACACCCATGGACCCATGGAGCACATGGATGCAGGCTGTGGTGGGGACATCCCCTCTGGGCACACAGGGAGGGGACATGCCAGGGCTCTTACCCATGCTCCGTGGCACAGAGTGAGCGCAGGCTCAGGAACCAGCTGCCCGTCTGGGGGTAGGGAATCCGCAGGTGGCTGAGGCTGGCTGTGGCATTGACAGAGAGCAGGAAGCCTGACAGGGACTCTGCAGGCAGGGAAAACTCCAGGTGAGCAGGACAGGGGGAAGCCCCTTCCCCCGGGCAGAGCTGGGATAGGGCGCCCTGTGCCAGGCTCCAGGGCCAGATGCCCCCATGGTCTCTGCCTTCTCCCACCCAGCCTCTCACTGGACACGTGGGGGGTGTGACCCCCACGGCCACGAAAGGATGAACACGTACAGCCCAGCCTACCCGTCTCACAGGTGACTGATGCATTGTCAATGGACATCAGTGGGACTTCATGGTTCAGACACCCGAACACTGTCGCGTTCTCACCACACAGGGAGCTCTGATGGCAGAGGAGACGGCCCTAAACCAGGGCCGGGGATGTCCCCGGCTCTGACAGCACCTGGCTCGCAGCACAACACCTAGCAATGCCCTAACCTGCTGCCCATCACCTAAGAACACCCCAAATCCAGGCCATTATCCTGCCCTTAGAGCACCCTAGTCTGTGCTCTATCACCCAAGAGCTCCCAAACCATGGCCCATGACCCAAGAGCACCCCAAATCCTATCCCTTGCTTTGCTGCAGCCTCGACATCACCCATCTCCCAGCCTGTCCCCCCCAGGCTGCCCTGCCCTGTCCAGGGCACAGCATGGCCGCCTCACCACATTGAGCTGCAGCTCCAAGTTGAGCACCCCACCATTATCCAGCACTGGTAGTAGGTTGATGACGAAGACAGCGGGGCGATCAGGTGGCACTGACACGTTGGGCCCAAAGAAGATGTAGAAGTGGACGG